GTATGTGGTCGCTGGCGGGGCTCTTCCGGTTCTCTCCGGTGGTCCTCTTTGGGAGGTGGGTGGGCAGCCCTTCCGGCGCGGGTGTCTCTGGGGCACATATTGATCTGTCATTTTTAACTTCATCCACCAGATCATTTCAGTCTTATACCCTGGACTGAAGTACTCTGTTCCTTCAAACTGGTTCTAAACTTACGTTTAACAAACATTTCTATCCCTTTGAGATTATAACAACTTTCTCTTTTAGTAAAATGTAATTGGATGTTTGAAGGTCAGGTGTTTTTATGAGCCCGATACACAACTGACAAAATATTATAATCAACCAAATCATAGAACTTCAATAACTTCAACTGATGGAATAATGAATTTGTTGGGTGTCTGTAGTTGTTTCTGGTAATAATCCTTACTGCTTACAGACTGAGTTACAGACAGATCCTGGACCTGTTTACCCCATTGTGTAAACCCAACAGGTCCTTTAACTCTGAAGCTAATACAGAAGCTAAAACAGCCCTTAGCCAGAGGAGTCAGATTAGTGTTTAAATATCATAATGAAGTCAGGAAACTTCCTGTAACCTGAATAAACCAGAGAGCTCTAACAAGGTTGTGAGTTTGGGTTAGTTTGAACCAACAGCTGAGGTTTAACTTCTAAAAATCCTGTTTTACGTCAGATTTGATCTGAGGCTGGAAACAAGCTGCAAACCAAAGACAAAACCAGGGTTAATTAAATGATACCTGTCCCCTGTACCTTTGCTGTCCATCTGGAATCTGAAGATGTGGACCCTGGTCCCAGTGCTCCCAGCGTCAAACATGATCCCGTACTGGAAGCTGTGTCCATCACCAGAGACAAACCCATGTGGTCCAGGCTGGATGTGTGGAGGTGGTCTGTAGGAGTCAGGTTTGTAGGTGGAGTAGTGATGCTTCACAAACATCAGATAGACCATCAGACAAACCATGAAGAGGAAGACTCCGGCTACTTTGGATTTCTTCATCACAACTCATCCTGTGGTCAGCTGTAGAACCAAGTCCAGAAATATTCATGGTTAGAACGAGCAGCAGAACCAGCCGAAACAAAAACCCCACTGTGGGTCCCAACCCCAACTTTGGGAACCACTTCTCTAGACCAGAGGTTCTCCTACTGGGGTCCACCAGAGGAATCTTGGGGGTCCTCAAAATTTTTTACAAAAATGTTAATTTGGTCATAATAAACTTAATTATATATATATTTCCATGGGGTTGAAGTGATAATAAATTATCTTTGAAAACAGCATGGTTTATGAGGGGGTCCCTGAAATTTTTTTCACTCTTGTAAGCGGTCCCCAGACTCAAATGGCTTGAGAACCCCTGCTCTAAACCAGTGTTTCCCAAAGTGGGGTCCCGAAACATCAAGGTGGGGTCCTGACAAGATTTTCTGAATTAATTACATTTTTGCCTTAGATGTTACAAAGGAGTGAGGTTAGTGTATTTAAAATGGATAAATGTAGTATAAAAAATATTGTTACTACAGTATGTCCATGTTTAGTTGACCTGATACAAATGTTTATCATCCAGAAACAGCTGGGGGCTCAGGTCTCTGCTACTGTTATTTTGTGGGTCAAAAGCTGAAAAGTTTGGGAACCACTGCACTTTGGTTCCCAAAGTTGGGCTTGGGACCCAATTATGGGTCATGAAGCACCTTGGATAATCTCCAGAAATCAATTTAAAGGGTAATAAAATAATTGCTGATGTAATATTTCCCTATAATTATTACAAAAACACAAACAAAGTATAAATAAGTATTTATATTTGTGTATAAGCTGTTTATATTGTCAAAAATCCTGTGTTTTTAGGGTTATTAACAAAGTTCATGTACTCAGACCAGTAATATTTGGGGTCACAAGTTTTTGCCATGGATATTTTGTGGGTCAGAAGATAAAAAGTTTGAGAAACCCTGCTCTAAACCCCACTGTTCCCAGGATCATGGGGTACTACGGGGTCTCAAACCCAACTGCCACAATAAGGTGGTAATTCTGCTAAGGGGTAGTACAAACCTACATGTCTGATATAAACCTGTACGTGTAATATAAACCAAACTGTGTACTGAGACTTTATCCATTTAAAAACAAAACAATTTCTATAAACAATAAAAATACAAATAACAGATCAAATGAAAGGCATCTGCCCCTTGTTTCCAAAAAATAAGTTCAAACAATAATAATCTTCAAGTAACAAAAACATCAAATCTTTCTCTAACAACAGTTCGTACAGATACACATATTATTTCATATTTCTTCAACAAACCAACTTTTATCATTCTCTTTAACTGTCATTTTTAACACCACTCTCCAGATTATTCCATAATCTGGTTCCTTGGATTGAAGTACACAGTTCCTTCAAACTGGGTCGAAAATTAGGTTTCACAAACATCTCTGCCCCCTTCAGACTGTAACAACTGCTCTCAAACTTTACCTGGATGGTTAAAAGAAATACATTTTTATGAGCCTGTAAATTATAAACAACCAATCTAAGAGAATTTTAACTGACTGACGTATTTTAAACCTTTATATATTATATTACAAACATGTAAATATAACAGAAGCGTACATGTTTATATGTTACTCCTGTTTGTGAACATAAACGTTATAAAACCTTACTTGTTTGGACAAAAAAAACATGAATAACCAGGTGTAAATCTACGGAAGCCTGGAAGGCGGAACGCTCTGACTGAGAAAATGTTTCTAACATATTCAGCTGTTGTAATTTCTCTGCGCTGTTTAAAACGTTAGCTCAGATAAGAGTGTCTATAACTTAATTTACCCACAAACATTTAATGTTCGGTAAACACAAACTCTGCTGCCGTCAGTTTTAAATCACACAATAAACCCGGTGTCAGAAAAAGGTGAAAATAATCTAATCACGCACAAACGGGATCAGACCGCCTTACCGGACCGAAACCAGTCCGTCTCATGGAGTTATACACAACTGTCTCATATCTGTGGAGGAATCAAACTAACCATAACTAACTAAACTAACCCTCCATAAACTAACCCTCCATAACACCAACACAACGACGCGGGAATATGACGTCACGAGACAAAGTGAAAGCTGTAGAGCCTCTTGTCCGCTGCTGTGACGAGCCTGTGTGTCCGCCATATTGGAGTTGGCACCGCTGTGCTGTGAACTACTAATAAAAGGATTTTATTTCATAAAACACATTTTAACAGAGATTTACATTAATACAGCACCATCAGTTATTCAAACACACACACACACACACATGCTCACACACACAGAATTTGAGAAAAAAGGTACCGAAAACAATGTATTAAAACTTCTTACAGGACTACAAAATACAACTTTATTGATCCCACACACTATTAATTTATGTTTCATAAGCTGTAAAGGTAAAGTAGTGTAAAAAATCATTTATGTTAAACTTTGTATTATTATATGAATTGTAATGAATGAATTTAGGAAACCTATACAGAATAATAAAAGCTAAACACACAGCAACAACAGTCTAATAAAATGTTTGACTAAACTAATTATTTATTCCTTATTTTATCTCATGAATAAGGGATACAGCTGGTAAGCTCTTTCTTACGATATTAAACTTTTGACAGTTTCATTCTGACTACATATATTAATGCAGTTATTAAATTAATAATATAATAATTATATTTTATTAACCCCCAAAAGGAAATTACATTTTCCAGTACAGCCATTCGTTATTATGAGAATTCGTACAAAAATAAGCCTTGTGTTTGTGTTAAACTGAGGAATGTTGTGAAGTTAATTGTTTAACATATTTATGGATTAAATGATAAATAAATTAGCTCACATGTTATCTGTGAGAGCAGTAAACAGTGGCTGCTGTTTGATGGAGCTGCTCACAACACATCATCACACAGGTCTTCACTCTATCATGGTAATATTTTGACTTAATTCTCATATTACTATGACTTATTCTAGTAAAACTTTATGTGTGTGTGTGTGTGTGTGTGTGTGTGTGTGTGTGTGTGTGTGTGTGTGTGTGTGTG